CTATGTCAAATGTAGTTATTCATTTCTACGAATACAAAACTAGAATATCTTGCTAAATATTTATTTTATGTATAATTATTTATACCCTACACTGTTACAAATGATTTCGAATTAGAGAACAACCAAACAACATATATACTAGCTATAACAAGATTGTGAGACTTCTCTTCATTATGCCCCTCGGGGTACCAATAAATCCTCACCAGTAGTCTAACCAGAGTCTCCTGGAGGGAGAACGTAAAATTTGTGAATAGATTTATTCGGTACCGACAATCCCTCACCTGAACTGTTAGCTACAGTTAGGCGAGCATGCCTGGGGTGACAAATTTTGTATACGTCGACACCTAAAGAAACATCAAGGAGGTTACCGGTCATATTAGTATGGTTATACGACTCACAATAAGTAAAAACTAACCTTTGTTCATAGGATTTCATTCTTCCATAGTTTTATTGTAATTAATAAAAATACATATCTATTTACTGGAGGATATTCTAAGGACATAGTCTACGGTTTTATTTTAAGAAATAAGACTACTATACATACTCGTGGTAACCAGGATTTTCAAACAGAATATACTTTTCATATAGAATTCATCAAACATGTTAGAAAATATGAGATTTTCTTGGTAAACATACTTTCATATTCAGAACTTGATAACAACGATTTTCTATAACAAACTACAATTTACTTATAATGGAAAGGAATCATTTATACAAACTCGGTGACTAGTTTTCAATACAAAAACATGTTTATGAACTCACCAGCTTTATGCTGATACGTTTTTAAAACCACTTGTATTCACAGGACAACAATAAACAGGTACCTTGCCAGCTTTTGGAGAAGACGGAGCATTTTGGAGTCTCGTTTTTATGTTTTGTTTATATAGATGTATACAAACTATGTTTCTTATTGTAATGTAATGGTTGTGTTTACTATAATTGCTATGATATGATTGTTGTGATACTACGCATGACATCTCCGCCCCTGACGTTTCCGTCGTTGTTTTTCTGACGGTTCAGAGGTGTGACAAACCACCTTCTTCACTTCTGCCATCTTATTTCTATTTGTAATAAGCTCCTTTAAAATTTTAGCATACTTAGGCATTTGTGCAGCCGCATCGATGAATGGCATATTAATTTGAAGGTCTTTTATGTGTTCCAGGAACTTGCTATAATCAATATTGTGCTTCTCTTGTCTGGCTCGACCTGGAAACGGTAGTAGAGGCTGATATGGCTTAACAGGAGGTTTATTTTTCTGTTCAGGTGGGGGACTCATTGAGTCCATGTCTGTGACTCGGCGAGTCAGGTTGGGATTTTTCAATTTTTGAGTTTCTGCTTCTTCCTCTTGCACCAATTTAGGATCTTGTTTCTAAATAGGGGCCAGAGGAGTAAAAATCTTCCCACTCCTAGTTGTCACGATGTTATATGTGAGCCTTTCGGATTATTTTCGGTATTATTAGGAAGTCCACCCGGTCGTCTCTCATTTCTTTGAAGTGCAAGTTGGCCTAGCTGTTTTTCAATGATGAGAATGGAGGCTTGTTGATTCCTATGTAGAGCTTGCTGATCATTCATCATAATTTGGTGCTCTTTAATCATGCTTTGTTGATCCCTCAACATATTTTGTTGATCTTTTATTGCACAATCGGTATCGTTATGTCTTTTTTCGGATGCAATTTCAAATCTTGTAAGCATATCTTCAAAGTCTAACTTCTTTTCTTGCACCGGCTCCTCCTTTTGATAAAAATTGCTTTCTTTTTTCTTATACTTTTCCTCCTTCTCCTTCTTGTACTCATCATAAGGTAGCCATTCTTTCTTGCATTTTCACCAATCATCATCATATCTGTCACTGCTTGAGTAACACACTTGAGCTTTCTGGTTCCCGTTCTCATCAAGATCACAATCCTTAGTAAGATGAGGTCCTCTACAGTTATCACATACCACTCTAATGGCATGGATAGATTGGTCCATCTTAGTCATTCTTCGATCCATGCTCTCCAATTTTTCCATCACTGCTGCCATATCACCGGTTATAGCATTCAACACCGCTCGAGTTCAGTCATTCCTTGGGTTATGATATTCTCTAGAGAGCTTAGAGAATTCTTCAATAAGTTCCCTAACTTCAGCCAGATTTTCTTTGTTAATGGCCTTGAGAGTGAAGGAGTTGTCTAGTGGTGACGTTTACCGCATCATAAATGTTGATACTTCTTGTTGCACATTGAGGTCTTTTTGTGGGCAATTCCTAATTAGACCCTTGTAGCTCTCCCATGCTTCGTATAGCGACTCACCCATTTGTTGTTCAAAATTTGCAATGGCCTTTTTTGAGTTTAGCAACCTTAGATTGTGGACAAAATTGCTCTAAAAATTCTTCACGCATTTTTGCCCATGCAGTAATCACGCTCGGTGGTAGTGCTTTCAACCAATCCTTTGCAACTCCTTTAAAGGTGATAGGGAGAATCCTTAAGAACATCGTTTCTCTTAGTACATTAGGAATATTAAAGTATTGGCGATGTTGTTAACTTCATCGAGATGCTTATAGCATCTTCATGATCCTTTTTGATGAAAGGAATCTCCTTCAATGCAGAGAGGATGTGCCCATAAAGTTCAAATGTGGCAGCGGCGGGTATGGCGGGTTGCACAAGCCCCAGACCGGTGTTGTCTCGAATCCTCTTTTTGTACGCCTCTATCGAGAGGTCGACAATGTCCACCTTGGTGTTGTTGGGTTCGCCTTCATGCTCACTTTCTTCTTCGTATTCTGACTCGTATTTGGTTACTTTTGGGATCGAATTTTCTTCAAAACTCTAGAACTTTCTTTCCACGCTCTTTTGACTGCTAGACTCACCTGCTTCTTGCTTTTCTTCTTCCTAAAGACCGATTTAACGTCCTTGAAAGATGATTTCCTTGACGGGTTTGAGTCTTCAACGGTTTTATCATTGTTCTTCCTATGAGCGGATTCCGGGTCTTCGAATGGAGGTAACAGAAGTGTGTTTGAACCTCGGTTCATATAATACTTGCAAGAAAAAACAAGAAATATGCGTAAAAAGAACAAAAAATGAAATAAAAAACGAAACTGAAAATTTTGCCTTGGAATCATCGAGTAGCTGCGATTGGACTTAACGAGTCAAAGCTAAAACAGAAAAAAATTAATCAAAAATCCTAAAAACAAGAAAATTTAATACTTAAACCTAGTAACTAATTTACTAAAGCAGTAACTTTGTGCAAGATAGATCTCACACAAAGGATCGATAACACTAGCAATTAAAATTAATTTTTAGAATCGTTCCCCGACAATGGCATCAAATACTTGATGTGTGTAAGATGCACTAGTTTTAATCTCACTTTTAAATATGATTTAGACACAAAAAAGGCAGTTATACCTGTCAATTGGTGGTATAGTTAAGAAAGTAGGGTATCGAACACAGGGAACGGTAATTAAACTAACTACTAGAATTATCTAAAAAAACAAATATAAAAGGAAGGAGGTTTTCTCTAGTTTTCAATACTAGAAACTTAAGCACTTAACTGACACTTAAACAACACAATTAGCAACTAAAACAAATAAAAATCAACTAAATTCAGTATTAAAGGAGACTTATGTTCATGTTCAACTTATTTATTCCTATTGTTGATTTTATGGCAAGTGAAATGGATTAATTTGTCATTGGCTACCGATTAATGTGATTAGGTTCATGTTCACTATTACTAATCCTTAGAAAACAAATCAATTCAAACAGTGGACAATTGGTTAAATTAATGAGTTTAATAGTGTATTGATTTGGGTTAAGTAAGACTTGTAGTTAGCTAATTCAATTAACTTCTTGTATGGTTGTTCGTCACACAAGCTCACACATTTATTTACCTATTTTCTAATTAACCCCTTGTTTCATGCTCACTATTCCTAGGCATTTAACATTGTTTTCACATAAATTATGTGAGACAAGCAATTAAGAGGTATTTATGCAGCTTAATATACTTGATAATTAACAGAAAATAGTTATTGGCAACACATGAGGGTCTTTAACAAGCTTAACAAAACAAAATTCAACAAATTAAATTAATCCAACCACAAAATCAAGCCATAGTCATAAATTTGTCTACCCTAAACAGAAGAAACAAGTTTTTAGCTCATATTCATAGCAGAAAATGTCTCATAAACTAAACCTAATGATTCAAACATGGTGTAATCACTAGATTAAGAAAAGAGAATATAATTTTGCCTTTCGATCTCCTCAAAATTGAAGGTTAGGGTTGATCCACGAGTTCCAAATCTCCAGATGCACTTTCAATCACAATTCAATCCCCAAGGGTTCCAGAAAAGGTCCTTGTTATGTGTGTTTATGCCCATTATATAGATTTCTGAAAACAGCGGTTACTCGTCGAGTCCATAAGCCGGCTCGTCGAGTCCCTCACTTAAAATCCGTGCGCGGTAAGGCATCCATTTATTCACGAAGTTTCTTGCCTACTCGTCGAGTAGGTGTTCGACTCGCCAAGTACATCTAGTTTTTGACGTTTTTTCTTCTTTCTTCAATTCCCGAGCTTCCGATTGCATTTCCCGCTTCCTTTTGCTTCCGAGCATGTCTTTAAGGTTGAAAATATAATTTGAACATAATTAAGTACCTTTTTTCATTAATTGATATAAAATAGCCAAAAAGTATTAAGATTCTACACAAAATATATAACTAAATACGCACATATCATCAAGCTCAAGTTTTCTATTCCTCAGCGAAAACTCAAGATCTTTAATTTCCTCCTTAGAAGATTCTTTGCTACGAGGAACATTGAAATATATGTTGTATGTGACTCACGTGGCGACACCGTTTAAGAATCCTCTTTTTTCCTTGCCAAAAACTAAGTTCATGGCATTTGTGCCCGTTTCAACATTTAGATGTCCATCTTTTATCTGTTATTCATGTTCCATCTAGCACACAAAATATGATTAATTAATGTTCGAAAAAAATTGTCACAAATCCTTGAAGTTAAAGTAATAAAAAAATTTAGTGAAGTTACTTGTTTATCCGCCAAGAGTTTAACATTCTCATCTTTAAATTTTCCTTCTTTACTTTCATGTCCTTTACACCACATAAAAAATGAAAAATAATAATATGTTAGTAATAAAGGATTTGTGAATATAATATGAGATGCAATTAATAATAATGAAAAAGTATTTACTGTAAGCTCTTCCCATAGTTTCTCCTTCACTTCTGAGGTTACCTTCTTCCAGCCAAAAGCACTTAATCCCACATTCTCGCGGAGAAGATCTCCCAAATAGCTATCAAACAATCTACTATGCTTACCTAAAAACTTACCCAATCCATCAACCTTTACACATGTTTTTTCTAGCACCAGAATTGACATACACAGTCTTCAATTTTGGCATTCGAGTCATGACCCTCTTTCTATTTGACCTTGTAGGAACTGGGTTTTGGATTTCTTCATCAGAATCTGAATTACTATTGTAGTCAATATTGTTTCCTTCCCCATCTTCGGTGTCTGAATCATACACTTGTGTTCCATCATCTTTCTCATATTTCATATCATACTCGGGCATATCCTCATGTTGTTGGTTGTTCACCTCCATGAATCCTTGGTTGACACGAAACATAGGAAACAAGTTTCATTTGTGATATGTTAAATGAAAAGGTATGAGTAGCTTATATTACAGACAATATTTTCACAAACGCAATTCATCGAACACTTGGTGTGCAACAAGAACAGTAATATGAAGAAGGAAAATTTTCGTTTTTTATGTATAATCCACCAATCAATACAATCAAGCACACTATACACAAATAGTATACTTATAGTGGAATTCATGCAGAATATGTACTAAATGTTGTCGATTAATGAACTGATAAACAATACAATGTTGGAATAAATCAATGTGCTTTAAATACTAGAATATTAGTATGCCCTAAATGGATGTTTGTTACCAAAGTTAGCAAAACTTCCTTGATTCCATGTATTGATCTTCAGATTTTTGGCGGTGAGATAGATGAAAACTTCCTGCATTGAATTGGAGCCAAAAAAGGATATGGAAATATGATTGCCTCCCATTGCATTTGCGTGATTTCCTTAACAGATTCAAATATTTTCAAGTTTTTGATGTGACCCTATACTAAGAGAAGCGTAAAACCATTTGGAAACATGGACTTCTCGCAATTAAAATCTTGTAGATTTGTTTATTTAATTAATATAAATATTACATATTTGGTCCTTGTATATTAATAATTTTACTTTAGGATACAATTATATGAGTATTGGAAATAAAAAATATGTAACATTTAATGGGAAAAAGGTAGAATACAACGAAAATAAGAATATTGTCAAGGTAGTTGTCTAATTTTCAATAATCATTTATATGCCCTAAATATATAAAAAAAAAAATTGTTTTGCACAATTATATTACACTTGTATTACTAAGTTTTATTACCCCTTCTAAACTACATCAACTATATTCACACCCTATATACACCCATTAAGGTCCCAAAGCCCTACCACTACCTCAACTATATTCACATCCAACCAATATACTTTCCAATACCAGTGTTTACAGGTAACTCCTACATCTACACTCAATTCACCTGTACCACTAAAGTACCTGCTCTAATCCATACAGCTAACTAATACATCCCAAACAATTTACCCAACCCACTAACCTACCCTGCTCTAACTCATCCAGCTACTCACACATCCATACCCAATTCACCCGTACCACCAACCTACCATGCTCTAACCCAGACAAATAACTCATACATCCACACCCAATTCACCCATACCACTAACCTACCCTGCTCTCTAACCCATACACCCCATATATGCCTATTATGGTCCCAAACATCTACCACTATCTCAACTACATTCACATCCGAGCCATATACTTTCAAATACTAGTGTTTACAACTAACTCATATATTCACACCCAATTCACTCGTACCACTAACCTATGATGCTTTAACCATACAGCTAATTCACATATCCACACCAAATTCACTCATATCACCAACCTACCGTGCTCTACCCCAAACAACTAACTCATACATCCACACCCAATTCACCCATACCACTAACCTATCCTGCTCTAACCCATACACCCATATATGCCTATTATGGTCACAAACCCCTACCACTACCTCAACTACATTCACATCTAACCCATATACTTTCAAATACCAGTGTTTACAACTAACTCATACATTTACACCCAATTCACTCGTACCACTAACCTTCTCTACTCTAACCCATATAACTAACTTATACATCCACACCCAATTCACCCGTACCATTAACCTTCCCTACTCCAACCCATACTGTTAACTCATTCATCAACACCCAATTCACCCGTACCACTAACTGACCTTGCTCTAACCCATACAACTAACCCAAACATCCACACCCATTTCACCTGTACCACTAACCTACCATGCTCTAACCTATATAACTAACTCATACATCCACATCCAATTCACTCATACCTCTAACCTACCCTGTTCTAGCCTATAAACCCTATATACGCCCATTATGGTCCCAAACCCCCACCACTACCTCAAGTACATTCATATCCGACCCATATACTTTTAAATACCAGTGCTTACAACTAACTCAAACATCCACACCCAATTTACCCATACCAGTAACCTACCTGCTCTAACCCATACAACTAACTTATACATCCATACCCAATTCAATTGTATCACTAACATACCCTGCTATAACCCATATAACTAACTCAGACATCCACACCCAAATCACCTGTACCACTAACCTACCCTGCTCTAACCCATGCATCTAACTCATACATCCACACTGAATTCACCTGTAGCACTAACATACCCTACTCTAACCCATACAACTAACTCATACATCCACACCTAATTCACCCATACCACTAACCAACTTTACTCTAACCCATATAACTAACTCTTAAATCCCCACCCAATTTACCTGTACCACTAACCTACCATACTGTAACCCATACAACTAACTCATACTTCCATAAACAATTCGTCCATACCACTTACCTACCTACTGTAACCTATACACCCCGTATACACCCATTATGGTCCAAACCCCTACCACTACCTCAACTACATTCACATCCGACCCATATACTTTCCAATGCCAATGTTTACAACTAACTCATACATCCACACCCAATTCACTCGTACCACTAAGCTACCCTGCTCTAACCCATATACCTAACTCATACATCCACACCCAATTCACCTGTACCACTTACCACTATCTCAACTACATTCACGAATAATTAACCATATATGCCCATTAATTATTAATTTTTATTTTTAATTTTAAATAAAAAATTAAAATATAAAGGATGACGTAATATACAAATTAAATCTCAAATTTATTAATTAATTTGTAATTCTATTGTTCAATAACCCCCATACATAGATACATATTAATACACAAATTAAAGAATAAATTTTAATTAGTATGGTAACATTAAAAAACATAAACACTGGTGAAATTGAAAACTTATACGTAGAGCACAAGACTAACAATGTGCTAGTGAATTGCCCCCACTACTTGGTGAACTCACCATCAAAGAAGATAGAAAAGCTTTTTAATCTATTGGTTATAGAAGACCCAAGGGAAACTGTTGATGATGGAATTGCATACATCAAGCATATGCTTAACATGTCAATTCCCAGAGAAAAGATTGAAGATGCCATGGACATGGCTAAAGAGAATGTGATTCAATGGAATTATAGATGTAACACAACATCTAATATATTAGTTATTTTGAAACTCTTTTTTGATTAAGATAATATAAAAACAATGTAATTTGGCTTTAATTCAAAAATTGTCAATATTTTATTATGGTATTGTACTTTGTAGTTTACATTTTTTGGTTCTTTCTTCTTGTTATGGTATTACTTTAAACTTAAATAAAAAGAAACTTGTTTATATGTTAAGCCCCAAAAATTAGTGGTTAAAATCAATACTTTATGTTAGTGATATTATTTCACCAACAATGTATTATAACATAAATGTATTATAACAACAATATGCAGGGGTGTTTATGATTAGGGTTACTATGGTGAAGTCAAATGTTTTAACATGGCATCGTACTTTGAATTTAACCATTTACCTTTTCAATTTTTATGTTAATTGTCAATAGAATGATAAAAAAAGATTAATTAAACATTTTAAAATAGAGGGCAAACAAGGATATTTTTTTCTTTTTTGTTTTTCTATTTTCAAATAAAGAGATTAATTAAACAATTTAAGATAGAGGGAGTCAGGGGTATAATTGTCTTTTTTTCAAGTTAGGAGATTAAATAAACAGTTTAAAGAAATATATTTGAGAGTTAGTAGAAGCAGGGGTATTTTTTCATTTGCTTTTATTTCTAAATTTGTTATTATAATAGATGTATTTGATGAAATGTATACATATTTTGACTCATTGTTTCTACTTTTGCATCACATTATATTGAAAGTGCATTGAAAATACAAGTATATCATCTAATACGAACTGGAGTACAAGGGGTTTAAATTATTTTCTTTTAATCTTAGTAATTAGTTATAGTTTTCTTTTATCATAACCAAATATATTATGTACTAAAACGCAACCTAGTTGGTTAATGTTGATGGATTACCTCATATATATTCTGGAAGATCGTGGGTTCGAACCCCACTTACAACATTTTTTTTTATTTTTCAATAAGTTACACGTTTCTTAACTCTGTCACACACTAAACACTATCATTAAGTACTTTCCTTTATCCATACATAATTTCCTTATATATATATATATATATATATATATATATATATATATATATATATATATATATATATATATATATATATATATTCATTCCCATTGACTGAATATGAATATTCATTCAATATGAATTTTCATTGAAGCAGTCTCCGGTCACTACAAATTCTTTGCTAATACATAATAACGTCTACTAGATATTCATATAGGTATGCATACATAACATTTTTATAAGTTCTACATAGACATAAAAAAACCTTCAATATCTGTTTGTTTGTTTTTTTTTTTTTTTTTTTTTTGGTTTGATAATGAACTGAATTACTATGCATGCATGCTAGAATCTACAATTAATGTGGGTTTGGTTTCCATGTATTGGATTAATTTATTATAATGTGTTATTTTCCTTTATGTACACCAATTAGTTGATAAAACACATCAATGAACAACTGATCTTACTTATTGAACTCATGTATGATTATTGTAGCATCAAAATAGATAAGTCTTGGATGGGATCGTATAGAACCACAGAGAATTATATAAATAGCGTTGCCTTTACCATAATGGCCCTAACCATTCTTGGCCCAAACAAAATATCGGGCTCCAAGGTCTACAAAGGCCCAACTACACCACTGAAGGCCCGTAAGCAGAAGTCAAAGTCCCCCTTACTCTAAACAGATCAAGGCCCAAAACCAACTCAACCCTAATGACCCAAAAGCCCAACAAAAGTCCAAAAGCTCACTGGGATCATACACACAGCGTAATCTCAGTATCCTCGGCGTACTTGATCGTCATGTAGTATGTGTTGCGTACACCTTGGTACACACATCGTATCGAGCTACTCAACACCTTTAGCCATTTAGTGCTTAATCTATGCAACCACTTAATATAACTTCTAGATCTCGATCATTAAGGGGGTCCTAGGGTATAAGGTTGGCAACTTTACTCCTTAGCATGTATTATATGAGCCCAACATCCATTTTTGTTCATCAAAGCTCACATAAAGGACCTAGATTCATGCATGGCTTTATATCAACCACCAAGATAACATTTTTATGCCTCTAATACACCAAAGGGACTAAGATCTAGCATTTCTAGCTTCTGGAGTTGCCCAAACTCCCACGAGAGAACCTATGGACCCGTAATGAGCTTATAAACAAATTCTAACTCTAATTATCAAAAGGATTACAATGTATGAGCTTTTTACCTTCAAGAGCTTTCTAAGATGATGTAGATTGAGGATCTTGAAGCTCAACCATGTCCAAAGATTTAACACCAAGTTTTTCTTCTTGCAAATACACTAAAAAGGCCACAAAAGTTACTTCCAAGCTCAACAATCACTCTCAGTGACAAACTAGGGTTTTAAGGATGATAATAGCAGTTGAGGATGAGAAGAGTAGGGGTCTAAAGTGTTGGATTGGGTGTGTAAGACCATACCTATAATTGGTATATACTTGAATTGAGAGTAGCACAGTCCTTTTGGGTTGCCCTCAAAACTAGCAACTAGACAGGATAACATTTGGAGATGGAGATTGATTTATAAATTGAAATAAATAATTTGTTAATATCTTATGAGAATAATATATTAATTAGAACTAGTAATATTTAATTAATATTTAATCAGAAATCAATTGGAATTAATTTTGGGATTAAAAGAATTAATTAAAAGTGTAGGGACTGAAGTGCAATTGTTCAATAGTTAAGAAAGAGGCAATCTAGAACACTCCATTAGGCATGGATGGTTTCTTTAAGCCTAAGGGATTCTAGAGTTATTTCTGGTAAATTACCTTGTTTTGAGATAATATTGGATTAAAGTTTATCTAGGGTTTCCTGACTGCACTATAAATAGAGCCTCAACCCTAGAATTTTCGGCCACTAATTCTTTTGAAGTGGTAGCCGAATTTTATAGCCTCCCTCCTCTCTCTCAATCAGCTTCTTTTGCTAGAGTTGGGTGTGATCCACTAGAGGCGCAATATTTGTGGCACTTGCTTTCAAGGCTTCAACAACACAATGGTTTTCATTGATATTACTAAATAGCAATCAAGGTAAGTTTCTCCTAACCCTATTTGTATTTTCCAACATATGCTAGTGTTATAGGGTTTTTATTTTGTTTTTTAAAGTTGTATGTTCAATTAGAGAAAACATAGATCAGGTATTATGGTTGCATTCACACATTGGAATTATATGCTTTGCATAATACCCATCACAGAGGTCATAGTGTGTTTAAATAGGGATCATGCCTTAAAATTCGGGCTTTAACTTTTGGCTGTGTACGACCTACGTACGTGGATCATATTCCCGATTCAACATGCCCATATACGCTAAGTGTACATATAAGTACTCCCAGTGTACGAAGAGACCTCATTCACAATTCTATTTTTTTCCAAGGACTAAAAAGAAAATACATGGATTTGAGTGTTACAATATTAATATAGTTTTAAGATAAAATAGTTTTTTATAGTCTCAGCTCTCGTTATTCGTAAGTGAATAAAAGTGTATCAGATTTTTATTATAATACATTCGTTATTAACTAATGAATAACACATATACTTAATTTTCTTTAAAGTTTAAGTATCATTCATATATTAATATAACACATAAAATATTCTCTTACCAATTTTTTTTAAATAAGATTTTGTCACATTTATATTTATTTATTAATAAAAACGAATATTAGCTCTCATCATATGTTATATTAATATATGAATAAATATTTATTCGATTTTTGTTATCGTTCATTTGTTATTCATATACAGATATGTAG